ACGGGAAAAAACTAAATGAATTGTCTTATTGCAGAATTTTAAAAGAAACAATATTGTCTTATTGCAGACCTTTAAAAGAAACAACTGGGTAAACAAGCAATTTACGAAGTTCAAAAACGTACCACCAGGAGCAATATGAGCCACGATATGAACAGTATGAGTGCAGTTGCTCGACGGAGTTTTGCGACACTGCGAAGCAGTTTTTAATTCACTCTCCATGAAAGCAAATTGTCCTGCTGGATCGTCCTTGTTGGTAAAGTTCTCATAGGCTTGGTTAGGTCTGAACGGATAATTTGTACGGAAGCGACTCGGCTTCAAATTAGAATCTATCTCCGTTAAGCAATAAGATCAAGAACAGTATTTGGGAGGAAAATAAGAAAATGACGGAATTAGTGCCATCATAGTTGAAGCTAATGCCTACATTCTCGTAATACATATTGTATGCATTAAAGAGGGTAACCTTCAGGACCCAGCTCACATACCATAGATGTATTGTAACTTTATAAGTGGAGTTGGGTTTTGCAGTTATAAAGTACAAGTTAACCTTAAATCATTGTGCAAATCGGGAACTAATTTAGACTCAATTCTTACTCTATAGCTTCCATACTTGTTTCAGAAATTTAGATCGGATAAAAGGCTTAACAGTTGGCACTTATAAAATACAAGTTAACCTTAAATCATTATGCAAATCAGAAACTAATTTAGACATAGCTTCCATACTTGTTTCAGAAATTCAGATTGGCTTAACAGTAAGCATATTTTCCAACCAAAACCCTGCCCATTTTGGAAAAGCTAAGCCATGCATATGTTTCGAAAAGGCGCAAGCTGTTTAATGCCTGCCACTGGCTGACTCAATGAGTCTCTAACCAGTAAGTATATTACTCTAATTCAATATGCGATAGCGCAAGGAGGTGAATGGATGGAACTAAGCGATTATGACTGTTTATGACGGAAATAGTCATACGCAGGCTTTGATAAAGCACAAAATTATACAGGCAGCCAGCTGCATTCTTATTACTTGATTTTTTGTCCGGTAGGAGAGTCCCTATTCCATCAGAGCTCTCAGTTGATATCGCACGCAATTTATGCTTTTAGTTTGCACTTATCTCAATTAAAAATATCTGCATACAATATTATAATCCCTTATTTGCTATATTATATTTGAATTCTTGTGGATTTAAATCATTAGTATGCACAATTTTTGTTATTTTCATTTTCATCATAAACATAAGTGCACAGTTTAAGGCCTAACGTACGGGATCATTTAATTACCACCGTTCAGTACTATTTTTCCATGACTGCCCAATCAAAAGTGCAAGAAAATCTTGTAAAATGGCAAGTTAGAACACCAGTCATCCATCATATTCCATGACATACGTCAACTAAAAACTAGAGAAAGAGCACAGTGACTTTTTTCGTTAACTATGCGGCAAGTCCAGACAGAACGTTTCTCCTAGCTTTCACAAATTTTTACGCTTTGACTTTAATCAAGCTCTTTCTTAGAATTGATTGAAAGAACGCGCAGCCAAAAATCCTCGATTTTTTCCCGCGATCACCTTTTTTTCTCGTGCCACCCATCCAGATCCCTTCAAGCGCGACATCTGACTCAAAAGATCAGAAATCTGTGTTTCGATACTTCACATATTGTGAACCTGTGTTTACGTTCAGCACACTATAATGTTGCAATGAAGCTAAAAAACTCAGTGATTTGCGTCGATGTTACCCATAAATT